TTGTTTGTTTGTTTGTTTGTTTGAAGTTAAGCCCAAAGCTACACAATGGGCTATCTGTGATCTGCCCACCACGGGTATCGAAACCCGGTTGCTAACGTTATAAGACCGCAGACACACCGCAGTGTCATACTGCGTATCTCTCGTGTTTTCCAATTCTATGGTAAAAGGCTTGGAGCTGGTTCTGAAAACCCGAAAATGAAAGTTTAATACGCAGGGTTTCTAATATTCTTTTGCGGTGACAAAGAGTAATATTAGATTGCACAAGATAGATTAATCTTTTTAATTCAAGTAACTTTCTAGAACATTAAGCTAATAGCCCAGAATCGGGTCAATAATCTTCAGGAGGTTTTAAGCCATTTTCATCATCATTTCATCTCTGTTTCATTTACTCCAGAAACATCAACAAGTTCAATCTCATTTCACCTACTGACAAGGCACAAGAATTGCATAAACTTACATTGTGGGATTTAAACACCATCTAGTGGGTTATGTTGGCAATTGTGGCCTAGCATGACCTGGTGGCCAGGGCACTTGACTAGCATTCTGCGAGTCGCGGGTTCGAATCCCATGACCAAACATGCTCGCCCCTTTCAGCTGTTGTGGCGTTATAATGTGACGGTCGATCCCATTATTCCTCGGTGAAAGAGTATCCCAAGAGTTGGCGGTGGGTGTTATTGATTAGCTGCCTTCTCTTCAGTCTGTTACTTCAAAATTACGGACGACTAGCGCAGATGGCTCTCGAGTAGCTTTGCGCGAAATTCGACAAAACAAACAAACAAACTGTTGGCCATTCAGCAGCACAAAACACGTTTGTTCTCACGCAAAAATTAGCCAAATGGAAAGCTGGAGCATTTCTAAAGAAAGAAAGTTAATTCGCGACTGTAAGTTTCGTAATCGCTTTGTTTACAATTTTTCAGACAGCCTGTGATTAAATAACAACTGTGTTTAATTTATTTTCACCTTCACACACACCCGACATTTTAACACGTAACACTCTTATGTTTACCCCCACAGTGGCTCAGCAGTATGTCTGCCGCCTTACAACGCTAGAAATCGGGTTTCGATACCCGTGGTGGGCAGACCACATTGTGTAGCTTTGTGCTTAATCCCAAACAATCAATCAACTCTTATGTTTAATTTATTTTTACCTTCACACACCTGACATTTTAACACGTGCCACTCTTTATTTTTTTTTAAAAATAAAACATTCCACAGGTTCGATGGCTTTGGTGTGATGTTGCTTATTTTATTTTATTACTTGAGAATTAGGGTTAACTTCCGAAAAGCTATCTGCACTGGTGCCATCTATCTTAGAAAAGTAACACTGCTAAGGAATAATAATTTCTACAATTAAATGAAGGTTTTTCTTTATGTTAATCACTTCTTGGGCTTATTACTTTCATTATATCATATCTTTTACATGCTCACTACAAAAGGAGCAGAAGAACACCATCTGTTCCTTTTTTCTGCAATACTTGAGTGTAATATTTGACTACATAAATCTGTATACAAACATTAACAGCAAAATGACTCAATATTTTTAAACCCAAGACATCTAAAGTCATTATGATGACGCTTGTCTCATGTTCGTGAAGTTTATTTTTTTGTAGAATAAAGCCGCAGTGAGTTATTTACAGGTTTACCGCGGGGGATCGAACCCCGAATTTTTGCGTTGTAAGTCCGTAGATAGACTTACAGTTGTCCCACCTGGGGGACCCACGAAGTTGGAACCAAAATTATTGCAATGTCTGATATTTTACGTGTTGTTGCAGGTGGCTGTTCGCAAATCGAACTGGATTCGCCGAATTTTAAACGCGTGCACACACACACACACACACACACATACATACATCTATATGTCAGGTGATACAATATTTTAATTTTGCTACCGACTAACACACAACTTAGCAGTTGCAGGATTTTTGCATGCTTCATTACTTGTGTCTGCCGTAACCAATCGTATTCGTCTCAGCACGAGGGCGGAGCCACGAGATCAACACAAAGTAGGCCGCATGATGACTATCGACACACACATCGCGAAGGAGAGAGATCGGTCGTGGTACAGCTGGATCCCGAGACTACAAGCTACTAGTGGCCCTTCGAGCGTAAAACTCAAACCCCACCTGGACATCAACATTTCCATCAACCAGCAGAACACAACTCCTCTGCAGATATGCCGGTTAACGTCACGCAAAGCCAGCTCACGCTCACGAGCACAGCGGAGACGGAGAAGTTCAGGTAAGAAACTGTTATTCATTCACGTTAACAAGTTAATTTATTCTTGTAAGTTTTTCCCAGTACATTAACGACATCAGGAGATTAAGATACGCTGCTTAACACTCGGGCAATACACAAACACATCGGACGATACAATGAAATGTGAAAAATCCTCACGGAAGAGACAAAAAAAACAACAGGCCTTTAAAAAACTCTTTATTTCATCTCTTGTTTAATGCTAAAATTTATGAATAATATACGCCGTAAATTAACCAATACCCCTTCTTGACTTTGTTTTATCAACAAACTGCTCCTGAAAGAACACTCTATGTAGTTAATATCTTTACAAATAACAGCATTAGTAAACGGACACAATCTAAAGATAAAACGAAGAGAAACAAACAGGGATATGTACTGGGAGAATCAATGCCGCGAACGCAACTAATACGCTAGTTAGTTTTTATGTTGCATCTATGAAAAGATCTGTTTGAATCAACGCCCTGATATAGTGTGACGTCACCGTGTTTAACCTAGTAACGAATACAGGTAGTTTAATATACCGTGCTTACATTTTGACTTATTATGATGCATTGTTTCGTCGGTTGGGTACGCTCGATGTTAGCGATATTTTCGGCCGTAATCCCAATAATATCTCGCAGGATTCAGCCAGCAATGGATATTTATGTTTGTTAGACAGCTGAAGAGACTTGTACAAAATAACCTTTATATACAAAAATAATAAAAAACAGATATTTTAAACATTAAAACCAATAGTGTTTATGAAAGTAACATTAAATAGAGAGAGAGAGAGAATAGGGCATAGCATTTTTACTGAACATATAATAAACACGAGTATTGGAGAATACATCAATCTTCCTTCATTCTTTCTTGTAGTAACACGTTACTTACCTTTTAATATTACTTTCGTTGTTTCGAACCACATACACCTGACAAACAAAAAAATCGTAGTTAGCTCTAGTGACAGTTATTTGAAAAAAAAACCAGCAAGTTTAACTTACTACACGCAATTAGTTTATTCACTTTTTGTTCATTAATGCTTACTGCAGCTGGCGAATCGTAAAAGTTAAGAAAAAAAATAACACCGTTCAGGAGAATAGTGTGGCTATAACACACCGTGAGGATTTTGTTTCTTTGTTTATTTTATCTACGTTATGCCATATGGGCTGTCTTTGCTTTGCCT